GTTTTTTAGGGTTTTGACCCGGTGGACCGGGTTGCTTATCGCTTGGATCTTCCCGAGTTGTTTAGTTAGATCCATAACACGTTTCATGTCTCTCTATTGCGGAAATGTTTGGTGGAGGAATTGGCTTGATATGAGATACGTTGTAGCCTAAGAGGAATTAGATGTTATACTAGATTTGAAATCCTTCTTGGTAGGAAGTGAGATTGAGATGTCCTCTATTTGGCTGTGATTTGGAGTGTTACTGCACGAATGTTGCTTGCTTTGTGCTTTATGGGACTCATGATGATGTCAGTTAACTATTAAGTGACTATGTTAAGTCACATGTTGCATAGGTTAGATAATCTCAGAGTGACGGATTTGACCCTACTGCGCAGCTTTCGTATGAGTCCAACCATTGTAAGGATGAGTCTTTTACTCGAAGGATTATCTAAGCTTTGTTGTATGTGATTGTATTCATGAAATAGTTAACTGAAATTATTAGGAGTTCTTCAGCAGCTGATGGAAGGGTGAGGTCGGGAACCTAGGAGAGTTTAGGATGTGTTGTAGCAGGTTGGCCTGCGCTGTTTAACGATGGGTATTCGTTTGAGAAAGGGTGTATATGAATGGATAGGACAGACGTGGACATGAGTGGTTACTTAGAGAACCCGAGATGATTCTTCAGGAAAATATGGATAGGTGTGGAAGATAGTATTGGCCCATATTAATGGAAGCATAGGATCCATACTCGACTCGAGGAAAAGTTTGGGGGATTCTAATGGACGGGTTAAGGAAGATGGCATGGTTTGGCACCATGATTCGTTGCAGTGTATTTTCGCCTCTAACGGTTATTGGGTATGATCGTCCAGGTTGAGGATAGGTTAGATGATTGTTCGGGCCTCAGTGTCCATGTCTGTTGGGTTTCAATGGTGCAGAAACATGAAAGGTACTTCTAGTGGGGTTGATCTGTTTTACCATGATGAACCAGTTCAATCTGAGTCTTGTGTTGATGATGGTTTTTATAATAGAACTCAGACACTAGATCATCAGTTAGATGGTGTTAGTTCTCCTTTGAACCTTAATAAAATAGATCCTGCAAAATAAAGTTCAAATACTAGGTTTGGGTTTGAGGAGTCCTTTGTGCCTTTATCTGTTGGGCTTGGTCCTAGTTCTCCCGTTTCTCCTGACTCTCTTGGTTCACCTGTCAGGACTGAGGAAAGTAGTCATTTTGTTCCTGAACCCCTCGATTCTCAATCAGTTGGTCTCACACATACTAGGATAGAGACTCGTCTTCCATCTCGGTTTAATAATTATATTGTTGAAGGAAAATACAAGTATGGCATTGAGAAAACTATTAATTACTCTAATCTGACTTCTGGACATAAGTGTCTCATTTCTAATCTTGATAAAACCGTTGAACCTCGGTCTTATTACGAGGCTTTTGTTATGCCTAAATGGGTTAGGGCCATGAATCAAGAAATGGAAGCTTTGTATAGGAATAATATGTGGGTAACAATTGAATTACCTAAAAATAGAAAGCCTATTGGTTGTCGTTGGATTTACAAAATTAAATACAAGGCCAATGGGGAAATAGAAATGTATAAATCTCGTCTTGTAGCTAAAGGTTACAATCAAAGAGCTGGTATTGACTATGAGAAGACTTTTGCTCCCATAGCCAAAATTGTTACTATTCGAGTTGTTATTACTTTGGTAGTTAATTATGGCTGGAATTTATATTAATTTGATATAAATAATGCTTTCTTGTATGGTTCTCTTGAAGAGGACCATACAATAGGGTATGCAAGTTGTTAAAATCTTTGTATGGTTTAAAACAGGCTCCACGTAAGTGGAATGAAAATTGAGTAATTCTTTAGTTAGTTTTGGTTTTAAACAGAGTTTTAATGATTATTCTATGTTTGTTAAAGTTGTTGAAAAGGTTGTTATAATTTTGCTGGTATATGTAGATGATATCATTGTTACTGGAAATTGTGAGTCTGAAATTAGTAAATTGAAAGATTTTCTAAAGTCTCAGTTTCTTATAAAAGACTTAGGAAAATTAAAGTATTTTTTGGGTATTGAAGTTGTGGAAGTTCCAAATGGTGTTTGTTTGTCACAGAGGAAATATTTTTTGGAATTACTTCATGACTTTGGTATGTTGGATTGCAAACCAGTTAAGAATCCTCTTGAGTCAAATCTTAATTTTGATAATAATAATAATGGTTTGCTGGAAAACATAACTGATTTTCAGATACTTGTTGGAAAACTCATTTACCTTACAATTACAAGGCTTGGTATTGCTTATTCTGTTCAAGTATTAAGTCAATACATGCGTAATCCCACTAAGACTCATTTGCAAGTTGCAATGAGATTATTGAGGTATTTGAAACTCAGTCCAAGAAAAGGAGTTAATTACTTGAAGTCAGAATCAAGTTCACTTTTATTAAAAGGTTTCTCTGAAGCTGATTGGGCTAAAAAACTTTTCTTTAGAAAGTCTGTAAGTGTTTATGTAGTTTATCTTGGCAATTCTCCTATTTCTTGGAGGAGAAAAAAGTAGTCTATTATATCTCGTTCTTCAACTGTGTTTGAGTATAGGGCTTTGGGTTCTTTGTCTTGTGAAGTAATCTAGGTTTTAAATTTTTTATATGACATGGGTTATAAGAATTTAGTTCCTGTAAATATTTTTTTTGACAACGATTCTACCATTAAGTTGGTAATGAATCCTGTTTTTCATGATAAGAGCAAACATTTCGAAGTTGATGTTCATTTTATAAGAGAAAAGTTTTGAAAGGGAGTTCTTAAATTGGTTAGATAAGTTCTTCGAGTCAAGTTGCAGATATTTTTACTAAGTCCCTTGTGTCTTCTCAACATGAGGTTATTAGTGAAAAACTATGTTTGTTTATCATTTATTCAAAATAATAGTTTTCAAAATGGTTAGTTGAGGGGGGGGGGGGGGGGGCTGTTGAAATAAATAATTATTTTATAAAAAACAAAATCAAACTAACATTTTGCTTATTCAATTTTAGGTACATTTTGTGGTATTATGTGTTTTAAGGTGTTACAAGTTAAGTTATTGAATGGTGAAGGGTGCAATGTGTAAATGAAGCATATATTTTACGGGTTTATATGCGGATCTTCGGAACCTGTATGACCCGAGTACTTAAGGGGTGAACGGGTAGAGGAGAGTCATTATTCACCAGTTCATTCAGATTTCATTTTCTCTCTTGTTCTCTAGTTTTTCACCTTCTCTGATTAGTGTTTGTTCTTAGGGTTTGTGCAATCCACTGTCTAATCTTGTAGATAGGTTAGTTTCAAGTTGATAGATTTGTACAAAGAGTAGTGTAGGTCTTTTGTAGTGAGGTTTTCCTATAAGTTGATGAAAACCATTTGTCTATTGATCCTCAAATGATATAATAGATGATGATGTTGGGTAATTGTGTTTCTACAAATTTTCACAAAAAAACTTCATTTATCATTACAAGCTTTTAACGTTTAAGTCTCGTTTGACACTACAAGCTTCTAGTGTTTAGTTAAAAAAAACGCTTCAAATCCAAAAGCTACTTCACGTAGCGTTTAACAAAACGTTATCCACTACCAGCTACCCACTACACATTACCAGCTACCTGTTATCAGCTAGTTTTGTCGATCACGCCCTTAGTATAAACAAAACGTTACAAATCTAAAAGATATCTCACATAGCGTTTAACAAAACGCTACCAACCACCAGTTAATTTTGTCGAACACGTCCTGAATCTTGTTACGAATGATTATACTTTAAGTTTATATATTTTCTAGCTAATAAAAACATGGTTATTGGATCAATATTAAATTAAAAATTCTAGAAAAAACAATGGGCGGCATTAGTTTTTAAAAATATATATATATTTAGATGAATTTTTTAAAAAAATGAAATAAGTTTTTTGAAATATGGTTTGAAAAGTGAACATAAAATTTAAAAGAATTAAAAAATTTTATGATTGTACTTTCCAAATATAGTCCTTACTTTTTCCACACAACAAATATATGACTTTTTTCATGATTCTTGCAAGCGTCTTTTTACAATAAATCTGATCATTGTTATAACTTTTCAAACCTTAAGATGTGAAAAAGAATATAAAAAGAATATATATATATATATATATATATATATATATATATATTATATATATATATATATATATATATATATATATATAGAAATTAAAAAGTTTGACATTTGTTTTGTCTTTAGAAAAATCCTTATCTTTTAAAATCTTTATAAGATGATAGAGTTCAACATAAAGATACATAGAACACTAATTAAAATTATTATATTATTAAAAAGTAAGTATATATGGATTTCATTTTTTTTAATGTGATATGTGAATATTAACAAAATTGTTGTAAGTGAGATCTTGGTTTTTTATTTTTATTTATTTTATTTATTTTTAAAACGGTAAATAATTAAATATTTCTTCTGTGTGGGATTAAGAACCTCCATGTTAGGAAAATGTGCTAGCTCCAAATATATATATATATATATATATATATATATATATATATATATATATATATATATATATATATTAGATGATAGATTCCTGAAAAATTTATCATACTATCTTATCTTGTTATTAACTAATTATTAAATTGCCTATTATAAATCATAAGTCAACAGCATCTGTATTTTCATTCAACCAATTGTATTCAATATTCAATGAAGATAAATAAATAAATAGATAAATGTGTAATAAATAAAAAATCATTGACACAAGAAACATGAACATATAAAACGTTTTTATTCATCATAAGAAACCAAAAAGGTCCAACAAAGGCAACGGTTACACAAAGAAAGCCAGCTGATTAACATGCTTTTTCAACATTAAAAATGTTGTTAACCATTTATTCCTTTGTTATTATTACTGCCAATAGAAACCCACATCTCTCTCCCTGCATTGACAATGACAGTTTCTGTGCGATTTCGATTTGTTTTCCTATTTTTGTTTTGCACCATTTGTGTTGCAGAAGAACGAAAAATATATTTGGTGATGGTGGAAGGCGGTCCACCAGTTGCATTTTTTGAAGATAACACAGTTTCTCGTAAACCTGGCAAAAAAATAGACTTTGATAGGTGAGTCAGTGATCATTTTAGATAATATATGCCTATTTTTTATGTTGATATCTAGTGTTCAAATATTTTTTGAGAATGACTATATGGTTAATTTTGACATCCTGTTCTATAAAGTTTAATAGTTTATTTTTATCAATATATATTTTAATTTTCATATATTATCATTCAATTAGTCTACAAAGTTTAATAAATATATTTTAATAGAAAAATTAAAATAACCATATGATGGCTCTCAACTGGGTAAGTTGGTAAACAACTCAATAATTTTGTGCCATCAAGATCATGAAACAAGTCTTTTTGTTTATATTGCGAGCTTCACATGAAAATATTTTTACTTTTAAACATCATTCATCGAATTTAATATTACTATAGGGTCTTACTATGGACACAAAACCTACCATTATCATACATTATTAGACTTAGGGGCTACCTTATTTTTTAGGATAATCATTGCACACTTTACCATAATATCATAATTATTAGTTACCCGGTTATCTTGTTTTACGAAAAAGTAATTTTCTCTCTTATCTTTTTCTCTTTATATATATATATATATAGGTTAACGGATCAAACTAAAAAAAAAGTAGCAAATTGGATTTAAATTCATTTGGAGTAGCAACCGAACAAAAAAATGCATGCTTTTTCCATGTAAAAACGAGAATAAGAAAGGAATAATAATAAATAAATATTACAATAGTGTGCCATTTGATTGTATGTACGTGATATTTTTTTTAATTAATAATATACATTACATATATTTTATTGATCTGTATATATTGTCATAAACCAAACAGTGGTTAAAATTTTAAATATTATATAACAAAAATATAATGTATTTTGTTTTTTCTTATTATATCTCAAATTTATGTTTTTTCTTGAAAAAAACCTTGTTTTTATTTTACTTTTTTTTTTAATTTGACATTTTTAATTATTATTTTTCAAAAAAAACTTGGCAAATGTGAAATATTTTTTCAAAAAAAAATTAAGATTGTTTTGGAAAAAATAAACGGTTAGTGGATTTTTGAAAAAAAATGAAAAATACAATATATTTTATGAAAAACGAAAAAAATATAACATATAAAATCTTTTATTAAAAAAGTTAATAATAATAATAATAACATACATGTCGACTTATTGCATTGTAAAAAATGAACAAACCAGCTATTTGGTTTAAATTAGATAATTTCAAATTTAATTTTAATGTAAAATTTTAAACGAACGAGAGTAATGGAGGGTGCTTTATGATATTTGCCTAAAAGTAAGGGGCAAACGGTGGTGAATAAACAAAAAAAGTATAAGCATAGTGAAAATTGAAAAGGAAAAGAAATGGGTTTACATGTGGTTGAGCATTATGTGCCAAAACATAGGAAATAACAAAACTAGATTGGTGTGTGGTAAAGAAAAATAGATTGATGTGTAAAAAGAAATAATAATAAAAAAGTAACCTAACCACTTTTTAATCGTGTATTTGAACAAAATAACCATTTTTTTAATAAAAATAAGCACCTGGTCCGGAATGGGCACCGGACCAAGAAAAAACATTTTGTTTATTGATTCTGCAATGACATTACGAATTCCGGATTAAAATTTCGAATTTCGGTACAATTCGAAGTTTGTACGCAACTAATAGCCAGTTTTTATGAACACCTTTTTCGCATATGTACAGTGAAGTATTAAAGGCTCACGCAAAACACTTGGAAGACTCTCATGATCAACTTCTACAATCCACGTTAGACGAAGGAGCTTACAACAAGCTTTATAGTTACAAACACATTGTCAATGGCTTTTCTGTCCATACCACCCCTACCCAGGTCCTTTCTTTAATACCATTTCTACGCTTTTCACAATGGATGGAATGAAAATAAACATTATAACAGAATAAGTCATTACAATCTATTGTCATGTTTGATTGGCTATTTCCATAAGAATTTTTATGTTACCTAAATATACAATATTTAACTTTAACAAAATAAAAAGATTCATATTCCTTCACGAATGTCCCATTAAGACAAATATCCATTTCATTCCTATAGAATGAACCATCCCATTCCATTTGTGATTCCATCATGCATATGAAACACTACCTAACAAGTAAGACCTCTATTAATCTTCAATATCCTTCTTGTCATTTCACATATAGGCCAAGAAGTTAAAGAATGCACCAGGAGTTAAGTTCATAGAAAAAGATAGAGGAGTGAAAATGATGACAACTTATACCCCTAACTTTTTAGGGTTACCACAACGAGTTTGGACAACTGAAGGAGGCGATAGCAATGCAGGTGAAGGGATTGTTATTGGTCTTGTTGACACCGGTATTAATCCGTTTCACCCAAGCTTCGCATATGATCCCTGGAACGGGTACCCGAGGAACCGGATTCAGTTCCCAGGGGTCTGTGATGTGGGGCCTCATTTTCCAAAGAGTTCGTGCAATGGGAAGATAGTTTCAGCTAGATTTTTTGCAGCTGGAGCACAAGCGACTGGCAAATTAAATGCCTCAATCGATATCTTGTCCCCCTATGACTCGGTTGGACATGGAAGGTATAATTGAGACTGGGGTAAAAGTGTAAGGACTGAATGTGAAATATTTCATAAGATAATTAAAAATGGTTCTTTTTTTTTCAGTCATACAGCATCAACTGCTGCTGGTAACCATGGAGTTCCAGTGGTTGTCAAAGGATCCTACTATGGAAGAGCTAGTGGGATGGCGCCACGTGCACGGTAATGAGTCAGACATTATACGTTGTGCTACTCTCATTATAGATTTGACTTACTTGTGACACCATTTTGACACAGAATTGCTGTTTATAAAGCTATATATCCGAGTATAGGAACTAGAACAGATGTTATTGCAGCAATGGATCAAGTAAGATCATCCCCACCCCCACCTCACCCTTGTGTTTCAGCTCACTAAGAAACTGGTAATGGTGCAGGCAATAAAAGATGGAGTTGATATCTTGTCACTTTCAATAGGGCCAGATGAACCACCAGAGAAAACGATTACTATGTTAAGCATGTTTGATATCTTTATGTTGTTCGCCCACAAAGCTGGAATTTTCGTGGTTCAAGCAGCTGGTAACCGCGGTCCAGGCCCATACTCGACCGTCTCATACAGCCCGTGGGTCGTAGGTGTGGCTTCATGTGACACCGATAGAACCTACCCCGACTCTCTTGTTCTTGGAAATGGCCAAAGATTCAATGGCATCGGATTATCAGGTATACTTACATAAATGGTCAAAGGTTTGAGTTTCTATCATTTACACGTTTCCCTTCCAATGTGGATAAGAATCCTTGTGGGCTCTAGGCTGTGTAGGAAAAGCAATATGTGTCAGCTCAAAGATTTTTATAAAAATAACTCTTTTTGTAGAAACAATTTGCACCCAGCAGTCCCACCCAGGCTCGTTTTTATCTTTGTTTGGTAACCCTTCTATTGTGATTTACAGGACCAAGCTTTGGAGCAGGGTTGCTAAAATATAAGTTGGTGTTGGCAAAAGATGCAGTAGTGGCAAATGGAAATTTTCCGAGGACCCCACAATACATAGACGAGTGCCAACATCCTGAGGCATTTGATCCCGTAATTGTACGACAAAGTGTTGTTATATGCATGTTTTCAACAGGGTTTAGCAACGGAACTTCAACTCTAAAAGAAATTACCAACACCGGGAGGGCCCTAGGGTTTATAGGTTTTGTGTTTGCTGCTAATCCTAGTTATGGTGATTTTATAGCTGAGCCATATCCATTCTCTATTCCTGGAATAGTGATTCCAAAAGCTAACGATACACAGGTATAAATAGCAACATATTTTCATTGATTTGGTTATTATAAAATCCTCTTTTTATTTCTTCATATAACAACATTGTATTTTGAAAAAACTAAAATTAGTGTCATTCAGTTTCTAGGTATGTTTGAGTTTGAGTACCTTTTCCGAAATACATTGTCTCAATAAGAAACAAATGACAACATTAATATATTATGCAATAGAAAGAACTAAAAGTAGGATGCTATAATACACAAATAAATGAAAATACGTTGTTATTCTTGCAGATGATAATGGATTACTACGAGAAGAAAACCGAAAGAAATAATAAAGGAGTTGCAACAGCTTATCATGGAAGAGCGGCTATAGGAGAAGGTAGATTTGCTGAGTATAACACAAAAGCTCCAATTGTGAGCAGATCTTCTTCGAGAGGACCTAATTTTATCGATATAAAACGGAACCCGATAGATTTGTTGAAGCCCGATATTTTAGCTCCTGGGCACTCGATTTGGGCAGCTTGGAGCCCAATGAGCGTGAAAACTCCGATACTCGAGGGTTGTAACTTTGGATTGATATCTGGTACAAGTATGGCAACGCCTCACATTGCTGGTGTGGCAGCATTGATCAAGCAACGACATCCTTCATGGTCACCATCAATGATTGCTTCCGCCATGGCAACAACCGCCACTACATGTGATAACCGAGGGGAACCAATAATGGCCCAAGGTCGGGAAATGTATAAATTGCATCGTTCTACGCCTTTTGATCATGGCGCGGGTCTTGTTAGTGCCACCAATGCTCTTGATCCAGGGCTGGTTTTTACATCAGGTAATTGACATCATAGGTACATGTACCAAATTATTGTATGTTTTAGACCATCTCCAATCCACTTCCATTTTTCCCTAAAAAATGGAGTAAAAACTGGGATAAATAGTGTTTCATCTTCAACCCTATTCTATTTTTTACCTCTTTTTTACCCCCAAAAAAAAAATATATTCTTAGTATATTGCATTCTTCCAACTTACATAGATTGTTAAACACACCCCTTCTACTAGTTTGGTATTAAAAAATATAAAATTAAACACACCCCTTACATATATATATATATATATATATATATATATATAATATATATATATATATATATATATATATATATTTCATTATAATAAAATTAAATAAGTAAGATTATATTTATAATACTTAATTATAAACTATTGTAGAATACGTCATCGTGTTTTAAAATTTCAATATGTATTTAAATTCTTATATGAATTTGATAAACAAAAAACAAACTTTATATTTATAATTAATTAATATATAACAAAATATTATAAGTATTAAATATTACATTTAAATTATTAATAGATAAAAATAAACTATAAATATATTATATAAAAAGAGGGACTAAAACCGACAACTCAAAATTCATCTCCGTTTTGGGAGAAATGAATAGTATAACACCATATTTGGTGTTATACTATTCATTTCTCCCAAAATGGGGGAATAAATAAGGTAAGGTTGGAGAAGAATAGGGGAAAATTGGGGAAATAATAGAAAATATGAGTGGTTTGGAGATGCTTTTAGACTATTTCCAATCAATCTTCATTTTTCCCCCATAAATGGAATAAAATATGGGGTAAATAGTATTACATCTCAAACCCTACTCTATTTTCTATCCCTTTTTTTATTCTAAAAAGTATATTCCTAAAATATTTTATTTTTGTAACTTATATATGCTGTCAAATACACTCCTCTGCTAATTAGTTTTTAACAAATATATATTATATTTTTTAAATACAATAATATTACAAATTATATTATCATAAATGAAATATTTATATATAATAAATTTAACTTAATTATTAATATATTATAAATAATTATTAAATAAATAAAATTATATTTATAATAAATATATCAAGATCAGGATCATATTTGGTTAGTATACTTTATAAATTATGTTATTGTGTATCAAGTCTTTAGTATATATTTAATTTTTTATATAAATTCAATTCGATAAATAAATATTAAAGTTTATATTTGTGATTAATTAATATAAATTAGTATATAACATAATATTACAAATATTAAATATTACATTTAAATTATAATTAATAGATCAAAATAAACTAGAAATGTATAAAATAAAAAAGAGAAAGACTAAAATCGGCAACCAAAACTTCAACTCAATTTTTAGAGATATGAATACTATTCCCCCAAATATGGGGAATACTATTTATATCTCAAAAAAATGAAGATGAAAATGGGGTAGGGTTGAAGAAGAATGGAAGAAGAAATAAGGGAAAAAGTGGAGTTTGTGGTTGGTTGGAGATGCCCTTAGGCAAACCTAGCAAGAGGCTTCTTAGGGGTCACACATCTTGATATATCTATCGTCTGACGCTTAGCCATAGAGCTTTGATGACATTAGGGGTGTATATCAGAACAGGGTATCCACTTTCGGAACCGAAACCGTCTTAAGCGGTCCGCTTCTCATTTTTTCGGAACTGCTACATGTTATATATATATATATATATATATATATATATATATATATATATATATATATATATATATATATATATATATAACTTACCAGGACAAAATAACAATGTTACATTTTAATACTTTGGACTAATATGATAGTTATATAAGTGAAAGTAAAATCATGATAAAACATGGGTTTTGTCTAGTAACACACTAGCCACAGTGTTGCATCGTTAATCTTGCTTAACTTTGAAAACATGATAATAAATAATCAAAAGATATATGAAGTTTCTTATTTGTATTTATAACTTTGTAAATAGATGCATATTTTTTAAACATAAAGTTAGCCTCCAGCTATTACTTTTTTTTTCGTGAAATTAAGTTTCCATAAGTTATGTTTATATATGTTTTTAATAGTTAATGGTTTGTAATGGTGGTTTTCTAATGAAAAAATAGTAAAAAGGATTAAAACAACCGGGTATCTGGTGCCAGAATCGGTTTTGGAGGTTCCGGTTGCGGTTCCAAAATCTAAAGAACTGATAAAACCGGTTTCGGTTACCACATTCCAAGAACCGTCGATTTCAGTTTCGGTTCCAACTATATATAGGCAATTAGGATGGGTACCTGCCTATGCTCACCCTAGATGAGTTGAAAACTAGTGCTTAAATCCTCATATTAATAGATGAGATGAAAACTAGTGCTTAAATCCTCACAGTGTAAGACGAACGAAATACTCCTTATAGGGACAACCTCTCTTTCTAATACATATTTTACAACTATAAAGAAACCAAAACCCATCATAACTATATGGTTAAGCATGCATGAATGAAAGCAATATTAGGATGGGTGACCCATAGCAATTCCAAAGCATACTGAACCTTAGCACTTATAGCTGAAGATGTTACAAAGCATTTTATGAATTCATGTACTAACCTAATTATCAATCAGGGTTTGATGACTATATGAGTTTCTTGTGCTCGATTCCAAACACCGATCCAGATTTCATCAAAACCACAATCGGTGAACCATGCTCACACTCCTTCCGTTTACCATCAGATCTAAATGTCCCTTCGGTCACAATTTCATCACTCAAGGGATCACAATTAGTTAGAAGAACAGTCAAGAATGTTGCCAACGAGGTAGAGACATACGTTTATGCAGTGGTTCCGCCCCATGGAGTGGCAATCGAATTAAATCCACCATGGTTCACCATAGTTCCACAAGGCACCCAAGATTTGGAAGTCAAACTCATCGTTACACAAACAAATGATTCATTTAGCCATGGTGAGATTATTTTAACAGGAAGCTTGAAACACATAGTAAGAATACCCATTTCGGTATTACCTATCTCAATGTAAAACAATCAATCTTGACTATGTAAGAATAAAGGTGTTTGTTATCTTTATATAAAACATTTCTATTACATTCTATGTCAATGATTAGAATCTAGTTCATCATATAACATACATATGGTGAAAGATTAATGTAATAAACAAATGAGAGAGAAAGAAATGATTACAACAATTATCGAGGACGAATATGTAAAGTAGCTACTTGTGTATTGCACATACATTCAACTTCTTCTCTCACTTTTTCCTCATCACCAACATGATTTGCATACATTGCTCCATGCGTTGGATGACGCATTTCCTCATCATTAGATCTTGGAGACCAAATCTGACAGGTGTCATCACTTTCTTTTACTCCTTTTGCTACAAGTGACGTTATTTGACCTTGCACTTAATTCCTCAATCTGCATTGCATAGTATGCTTCGTCCTTGACTTTATCTTGTTTTTCCTCTTTCTTCTTTAAGATACATTCTCTTGCTAGATGATTCTTCCCATTGCAGTAGTTGCAATGATATCCCGAATCACCTACAAGCTTCTTTTCAGACTTCTTTTCACTTGTATTTTCATCATTCTTGTTATGAACTCATGAGTATGATGTCAAAGAATTTTTCTTGAATGAGTTGTTCTTGAAGTTGCCTTTCATTAAATTTTTGTAGAATTTCTTGACATTATTGTTTGAGTAATAAGCCATTGCTTCATCATCTGAATTTACAATTAAACCTTCTTCATTGTCACCTTCTTCTTCATCTAAACCAGCATCTTTGACATTTGTCTTCGAAACAAGGGCTAAAGGACCTCCAAAAATTGTTTTGTCAATTTCATCAGCAATTTCCTTGACTTCATACTCATGTGTTTTGAGAACGTTATACAAGATTGATAGACAGTATGAATCAAAATTTTCATGAGTTTTGATTATCAAACAAATATTCTTCCACTCCTTCCTCAATCCTAGTATGAAGGTTATGTTGAACTCCAATTCAGTTCGAACAACCTTATACCTCGAACACTTATAGATCAAATCATTAAATCGAACATAATAAGCTTCAATGGACCCAGTCTCTTTTTGCTTAAACTCGGACAACTCAGACAAACATTGAGTTACATAACTCTACTTTGTTCTTTCATTTCCTTGAAAATTTTCTTTCAAAGTATTACAGATTTCCTGTGCAGTTTTACAACCACAAATATAGTTGTAAACAACAGGAGGTAATGCACATCTCAATGCTTTAATGCATCTTTTATCATTATCTTCTTGCTTGTGTTAAGTTGCAATTACATTTTCATTTTGAGCAGCAGATCCAACAACTCCAACAACATTAGCACAGTATGGACCTTTAGCGATTAGTCGCAACAAATCTTCATCGATTCCGGTCAAATAATCCTCCACACAATCTACCCATTGATTCTAATACTCTAGAAATAACATCGATGTCTTTGTTGAAGATCCAAGCAAGTTCACGCAATTCATCATCGTATTCATATTCATGTTTGCCATAAATTGTTTAAAAAAGTAAGAAGATCGAAATGAATTGAAATTGAGTGAAAGTTTAATTGCAGAATCATAACGAATTTTAAAATGCAGAATTGTTGAATTCAGAAACAATTGAATCAACAGATGAAATAAAAAAGAATTCTTCTAACACGTTGATGAATCTTGCTCTGATACCACTTGATGAGTTAAGAATTCAATCAAGTAATGATTTCAGTAAAAAGAAATAGAATACAATGTGTAATTAATTATGTTTAAGCTCTGATTTAGTATAGATGCAATCAAGGTTACAAGATATGAAAATTAGTTCTGTAAAAAGCGTCACTAGTAACCTAGACCACAACACTATTTATAGTGCCTTTAACAGACTAAAAAATATATAGAGAGATTTCAACACTAACGTACTAAAATATAAGTGCTATCAGAAATACATAGATATATCGAAGGTGCGTAACCTTCGATATAGAATACAAACAAACTGTTCGATACAGACACTATGATATAAAGACTTCGACATCAAACTTCTTCACAACAACTTGTAATCTACAAAACCTAGTAGGAAATTTTCAAAAGTTCATTAAAATGCTAGTATGATTAGAGATAAAAAAAACCTTATCCATGACATCATCAAATAACAAAGACTTTTTTTCGGATAACCGTTCTAAAAATGGTGAAATTTCAAAAATTCAAAATACACCAAAACGGTTGTCAAAATAATTGCAATTGGTTTGGTTGTTTTAATTTCTTTTACCCATTTTGAATTTCATCAATAACTTTTTTTTCTTTAAAAAAATTTTGAAAAAAAAAATCAAATTTTGTACAAAATAAGCACAGTCATATATATATTTTTTTATTTTTTTATATTCATAAAAAAAACCTATATTTTTTTTCAAAAATCATGAAAATTTATGGGATAATTCTACTCACTATAATAATGACTTTGTAAAAAGATTTTTTTTTTAAAATAAGTTTTTGAAATGTTTATATTTTAATTTTAACAAATATTTGTTTTTATAAAATATAAGGTAAATTTTTTATCCAAATTCAAAAAAGCGAATGATAAAATTCTTCGTAATACTATTTTAGTGAGTTTGTAAAGGAAAATTTTCAAAAATATTATTGTTAGCGATATGAACGTTTTGTTTAAATAGTTTTAGCTTTTTATAAAAAAATAAGACGTGAAAGTTTCTTTATCCAAATTAAAAATCCTTTTAAAAGGTATATTATATATATACATATCTTATGAACATTTTGAAAAGAAATTTTAAAAATAATGTGTTTTAGATAACAAACTTTATTTTAAAAGATTACAACTTTTAAAAAAAATGTTGAATATAATATGATCCAAAATAATATGATTCAAAATATTTATGATTCAAAAAAATTATGATTCAATATGTTTATGTTCCTTAATTTATTATTATATATAAATATTATGATTTAAATACTTTATGATCCTTAATTACTATATATTTTATGATACAAAATGATCCAAATATATTATTGAACAAAAACTTTATTTAATTCAATATACTATGATCCAAAATTATATGATTTAAAAATGATATGATCCAAATTATTATGATTTAAAATGATATGATCCAAAGATGTATAATGCATAATAGTGTTATGATTCAAAACTTTTTATAAATATTAAACATTTAACCGATATTTAATTCAAAAAAATAAAAAGGTGAAAAAAACAAAATAAAAACAAAATAAAATAAAATAAACCCCAAGAAACTTAAAAGACATACTAAAAACGTTAAAAAACTAAATAAAAAACAAAAAAAATAAATTAAATAACAAAAAAAATAAATAGAAAAACTTAAAAAACCGAGCATATATTGATCTAAAAAAGTTTTTTTTTTAAATAATCAAAAAACGAAAAAAAAACAATAAAAACAGAAAAAACCGAGTATATTAATATCTAAAAAAGTTTTTTTTTAAATAAATAAAAATTAAAAAAAAACTATTTAAATGGCATTCGTCGCACATGATTATTTCATCGAGACTGTATTACGTTCCTTGACGAAATGGGTGGTGGAGAAATGTAGTCGTGGTTCCTACCGAATCCGGACTATATATATAAAGTTAGTGTAACATCCCAAAAATCAAGACCAAAAATTTCATTTTAATTCATTAATAAAACCATAAATATCATTATCATATAAAAATCATAAGTTATCAAAACATTTCGTCAGAGTTCCATAACAAAAATCAGAGTAAAACTTCACAAACTAAACATCATGGTGTGTGCGATGCAGTCATCGTGAGCTCTTCCCTCCGCTACCGGAAGTACCTGAAACCAAAACTAAAAACCGTAAGCACGAAGCTTAGTGAGTTCCCCAACCTACCACATACCATACACATAACCACATATTGGGCCCCCGCCCGCTGCATCGGGACTTGTCCGGCATCGGTCTCACTCCGGCATCGGGCCCCGCCCGGCATCAGTCCCCGCCTGGCATCGAGCCCCGCTCGGTATACAGATCTGCTTCTCTTAGGCCTCGCCTGTCTTCGGGCCCCGCCCGCTATACATATATAATCACATAACATACTAGCACAATAAGCAAACATTACTACTGAATTCCTGTTCTAAGGCATCGCCTATCTTGGGCCCCGCCCCTGTCCTGCAGCTGAAGAGTCATGGAACCCCATCCACGCTCCTGCTAATGGTGAGATACGGGCCCCCGCCCACACTCACCTCTCTCCTATCCCGGGCCCCGCCCCTGCTCCACTAATAATGAGATACGGAACCCCGTCCGTACTCAACTAGTGGTGAGATACGGGACCTCGCCCACAATCACCTCCCTACCAGGCACATACATGTATCACAAAGACAACAAGTATAATCTACTATGCAACATATAACATTCCTCGGGCTTACCCCAGCATCGGACCCTAGTCCGGAACATACTACCGACACATGCAAGAATCACAAAGACCTCTAGCATACTAACATACATCGGGCCTCGCCCGGCATCAGATCGTAATCCGGAACATATATCATAAAAATGCCTAGGGCTAACCCCCGGGTCTTCCTACTATACTCAAACATAATGGGCCGACATTGTGGCCGTAGACCCATGCATACAATGAGGAGACTCACCTCGCACAGCTGAAATCTCGCAGATAAACCTCTGGCTGCTAACTGACAATTCCCCGAACTGCTGCTCATTCGGCTCCTCGAGCTATCAGTACCAAAATAACACTTAGCCCAAAAACCAATAATCCTCCTTAGGGTAAAATGACCATTTTACCCCTAGTCCAACTTGGTCCATATCTAAGGCCCAAAACCATAACATAAAAGGCCTAACACTAGGTAGGCTTCCCAAGCCCACTAGTGGCCCACTAATTGCCTGATTTGCTAAATTGGGCCCAATCCCTCTAATGGGCCTTACCCTAAGCCCAAACATATTCTTGGCCCAAAACATCTAACTTTTGATGGCCCACTAAGGCTCAAAGACCCAAACTTCATTGCTTGGCCCAACCCGAGGCCCAAAACACATTAAGCCC